ACGACAGTTTTACTTTACCCCTTTTATGTTTTTCTTCCATACAAAAAAGGGGAGAAGGGAAGAGCCATAAGCGCCGTTTCACCTCTCAGGAAACAAGCTGCTTCCTTGGTCTTACTGAGATCTGGAAGTTTTCCACACCAATACAACACTTTTCTTTCAGTGCTTGAAAGAATATTTGTGATTTCTGTGCCTAGCCGCGTCCACCTCACTGAAACAGCTTTAGTTTTTCCAACTCAGATTAAAATTGTAACGTTAATAGGATTTTTTATTAAAATATATTCTGTACAGAAATAACAGAGATCTTAAAAGAGCTGGGATAGTCTTCTTGTCCTAACATACAAATTCATCTGATTTTCTGACAGTAAGCTAAAGAGACAAAGTGCTAATATTTATGCCATGTTTTCATTTTTTTCATGTTGTCACAGCTATATCAGACTAAACAACACTGTTCTATGTTAAACTAAGAGAGTTTGCGTATTTATTTTAAGGAATTAACAGAGCTTTTAGAATATTTATTTTTAAGGAGTCTAATGTGAAATACAAACATTAAATAAATATGATGAAATATAAACACATCTATTATCTAAATAAAAAACAAGTTTGAAGAATAGTTTGGCTATATGTTTATTTAAACTCTCGTACACAGCAAAGATGTTAACTATTTAAAATAATATACCTCCCCATTATTTTATTGTGCAACATATTGTTTTATTTCATTTCCACTTCCACATATTATTCATAAGGAATAAGGGCATGTTGTTTATGCATCTATATTTCCCCTTCAGTGACACAAATTTAAGAAGTTATATTTGAGAGATAAATGCAGTTTTAATCACTGAAGTGAACTGAAGTTTCCCCTTCAGTGACACAAATTTAAGAAGTCATATTTGAGAGATAAATGCACCTTTAATCACTGAAGTCTGTACTTTGAAACACCAATGTCACACTCCACAATGACTTCAGCGAGATTCCAAAAAACAGGGTGAGGAAAGCTGGTAAAGCCCAGTTTCTATTTAGTTGGTGTCAATTTTATAATCTATATTAACAGGAAATCATAAACAGGGATCAACACATCTTTTCCTCAGTCTGTTTGTGTCACCTTTCTTGGGACGCCTGTGATCATTCAGATATCTAGCAAATTATTTCTGATCTATGAAGACTAAATGACAGGTTTATTACTACATATATTACATTTAACTCTGTCCATTTGTAGTGCAGAATATTGATTTTTCCCGGGCACTGCTGTTATATGTCAATCTTACAATGAATGGCTGCAAACACTAAGAAGAATTACCTTATATCAATTAACCCTGGCAATTCCATCACTGTTCATGGCTTTTACCTCTCGCTTTCACATCTTTTCTATCCTCATATCACATATCAAAGCATTTCCCTGCAAGTTCATCTCTCTGTTTTAACTTTATACCAGTTTATGTCTGACTTTATATTCTGTAGATGTTTAGATCATGCTCCTGTGCCTTCTTCATCATCATAATCACTATTATGCATAAGCCTAAATTAGTTACAGACCACCATACACATAGGAAAATGGTATTAATTCAGATACTATGACTGCAAATAACGTCTCAAAGACTTAAATTTACAAGTAAACATTATACAAGTGTAGTTCCATTGAACCGAATAGAAACTGCTTAACTACTTAACTTCAAGCACGTCTAAATGTTTGCAAGATCTGATCTCTAGAATAACAACTTTGCATAATAAATATATATTAAGAAGATCCCTTGCGCTTGTTCCTGAGGCTAAAAAGGTTGTGACCTGTTCTGATGACTTGACAAACCAGTCACAGTTTTCCAGTTCACAAATAAGACCGATTTCAAAGTTATTTGAGATTTGGAGATAGAAGAAGCATGAACTCCTGCATTCCCCTAGTATTCTCACAGCACTTTGGGCACATGTAATGGGTGTTTTACAAGAGTTTAGCATACAAACAGAAGTTTTGCTTCAGAATTTATTGTACCACATGAATTTTAAGTGTTATAACCCTGTGAAAAATCTTTAATCATAACAACTTAAGCCAAATTCTGCCTAAAGAAATGTAAATCTGGAACCTCTTCACTGAAGTCAATGAATTTATTCCAGATTTAAACAACTGCAAATATGACTAGAGCTTGGCTTCACATCTTCAGTCACAATCAGACATTTTAAAGAGGATATTCTGCAGACTATTTTTATATAAATTTTCCTTCCTTTGGAAGGAAATATTTATGGCTGTTACACTGTCAGTTGAAAAAAGAATGGTCATTTATTCTTACCTTTGCAAAATGAGGTCAATAGCTTTGCTGCATAGGATGAACACGAGACTGAGTCATGGTTACAGTATGCTGGGTGTGGCTGCAAAAGAAAGAAATATTCTTTACCTTAACAATATTTGTTGTTAATTGGGGGGGAGGGGGCAAATAGGGGTGATTTTATCAGTGAATGGGTGTGTTCCCAGCAAATTAGCTGTCTATGCCTGCTGAGCAGAGCTCTCTATGAACATCTAGTACCAGAATAGTAGCAGCAACAGCTAACAATATAAGGAATCACTGGAAATCTTGGAGTTAAAGGCAACTTAGAACCCTTTAGAACATATCCTAAGTTTGAAAGTCCCTTAAACAGATTCATAGAATAGCTAGGTTAGAAGGACCTTTAAAGGGCCGCCTAGACCACCCCCCTGCCCTGGGCAGGGACACCTCCCACCAGCCCAGGTTGCTCCAAGCCCCCTCCAACCTGCCCTTGAACCCCTCCAGGGATGGGGCAGCCACAGCTTCTCTGGCCAACCTGGGCCAGGCTCTCACCATCCTCACACCAAACAAGTTCTTCCCCACATCTCAGCTCCATCTCCCCTCTTTCAGTGTCGAACTCTTCCCCTTTCTCCCTAGGGCTCCTCTCCTTGATCAAGAGTCCCTCCCCATCTCTCCTGGAGCCCCTTTAGGGACTGGAAGGGGCTCTAAGTTCTCCCTGGAGCCTTCTCTTCTCCAGGCTGAACCCCCCAACTCTCTCAGCCCCCCCTCCCAGCAGAGGGGCTCCAGCCCTCCCAGCATCTCCGTGGCCTCCTCTGGACACGTTCCAGCAGGTCCATGTCCTTCTGCTGTTGGTGGCCCCAGAGCTGGAGGCAGCACAGCAGGGGGGCTGGAGCAGATAGGCAGAGTCACTCAGGGAGGGACACAGTTTTCACAACAAGAAGTATTTTTTTCCAGGTTCCTGACAACCAGGCTGCTGGATGACATATTTGCAATTACCATTTTTATCCATCTGTAATTTCCAGATTATCCACCAAAATCCAGAGCAGCTCAGCACAGAGCCGTTATCCTTTACTATCTCCAAACTCAGTTCCTGGGTGTCAGCAGAGCACAGCAGGGCTTCCCCCAGCACCCACCATAGCAGGTCCCATCCCACCAGGGAGGAGGGCAGGCCAGGGCAGCTAGGGCAGCCCCAGCCATGGGGCAGGACCTGGCAGCAGGGAGGCTGCCTGTGGGTCCAGCCCGAGCCCCAGATCCACATATGGGCCCACTTTATCAAGCAATGGCTCCAGCCTTGTGGAAGGCACAGGACCAAAGTGGCTCCTGAAGCCCTATCACAGCCTCCCCACATCCCCCAGTGGGACAGGGCCATGATGGGTGGCTTGTGGGATCCACTGACATTGAAATGTAGTGGATGCACACACAGGGGTGAGGCACTCCCTAAAAGGGGGGATCACAGCAAGCTGAAGAGCTGTCCTTCTCTAACCCCAGCGTTGGAAGGGGATGGAGAGTCTCCAGAGGCATACAGAAGCAGTAGGGCAGTTACAAAAGGTGGTTCCTACCTTGAAAACTGTGGTGGCTTGACCACAGCTGGATTTCAGGTGCCCACCAATGCCATTCCTATCACTCCTCTCCTCAGCTGGATGGGGGAGAGACCCCCTGGGTCCATTCCATAGAGTCCTTCAGGAACAGCCTGCTCCAGCATAGGTCCCCCATGGGGTCACAAGTCCTGCCAGCAAACCTGCTCCAGCATGAGGTCCTTTCCCTGTAGGTCCACAGGTCCAACCAGGAGTCTGCTTCAGTGTAGACTCTCCACAGGGTCCCAGCTTCTTCAGGACATCCCCCTGCATTGGCATAGGGGTCTTCTATGGGCTGCAGGTGGATAACTGCTCCATTATTAACCTCCATGGGTTGCAGGTGGGTAACTGCTCCACCATTAACCTCCATGGGCTACAGGTGGATGACTGCTCCATCGTTAACTTCCCCAGGCTGTAGGTGGATATCTCCTCCACCATTAACCTCCATGGGCTGCAGGTGGATACCTGTTCCACTGTAGACCTCCACAGGAGGATAGCCTGCCTCACCATGGTCTTCACCACAGGTTGCAGGGGAATCTCTGCTTTGGCACCTGGAGCATCTCTTCCCCCTCTTTCTTCCCTATGGTTGGGGTCTGCACAGTGGCTGCTCTGACATATTTTTACTCCTTTCTTGGGATGAAATTGCTGTTGTGCAGGAACTTTTTCCTTCCCTTCTCAAATATGTTATCCCAGAGGTTCTCCCATCATTGCTGATGGGCTTGACCTTGGCCAGTAGCAGGCCCATCTTGGAGCCAGCTGGCATTGTCTCTGTTGGACTTGAGGGAACCTTCTAGCAGTTTCTCACAGAAGCCACCACTGTAGCCCCCCCACTACCAAAACCTTGCCATGTAAACCCAATACAAAAACAAATATTATTTTTTTTATTGTTTGAAGTAATCTCAGTGTTTGGCCCATTCCTTATTCTTCCCACAATATCCATGTTCTGGAGATGTGGGACCTGCTTTGTACAATCTCAGGGAAGTCCTAGCAGCAAGTAACCCACTTGGTGGTGACTGCTTAGATTTCTGGGCTTTTTTTGCTTTAAATATCACTAGTGATCTGTCTAACCTACCATAAAATGAAAAATTAGGGATACTAGGAATACTAAGATGCTAAGAAACGTTTGACATACCTTGTGCATGTATCTGAACAGTACATTCTGCATCAATCTGCCTTTTAAAAATTCTGTTTGAAAGAGGAAATGCTAAGCAGCCCTCTCCACGTGGTTGCAGGCCTGAAAACAGCTTTTTCTCTGTGTCAGGGCTCAACAGATGGCAGGTTGGCCGAGATGAAACACAGAGCACAAGGCAGGTGCCGGAGTTACAGCTTGTTCTTCCAGATCTCTGGGGAAGAACAGGAAACTCTTAAAAGTTTGTCTCTCTAACATTTCCTTTATTAGCACACTTGTTCTATATTTGTTTTTTTATTCCCCTCTGCCAGTAAACACCTTTCAGCATGACTCCCAGCAATAAATTGCCTTGAGAATCAGGATATTTGGGAGGGATTTTAAAGCAGAGGCTGCCTTTTACCAGTTTAACCCAAGATAATTTTCAGCCCACGTAGTGAACATGTCCCAGAGAAATGTCTTCATGCCAAAACTTGGACCAATGCTTTTCAGCTGAAGTTCTGTAATTTTGTTCCCCGTGAAGCTTCTCTCTTGTCCTGTGAGGAAGCAGAAAGGCACATGAGGGGGAACTGGGGCTAATATGACTTCAAGTTTCTCTTATTTCCTTTAGGCTCTTGCATCCAGCAAATGGTGCCAGGTCACACGAAACCCCTCAGTGCTCTTCCCAGAGGATTCTGGCCAAACAATGCAGCAGAATCACAAATTTTCAATTCTCTTACTCATTCTTGTTAATTCCTTTTAGTGACACACACACACAAAAAAAGCCAGACAAAACACTGGGCACCAGTCAACTTTGATACAATGAAAACTTTCTTCTGGAGGCTAAAAAAATCATTCCACTAGTTTTCCTCCCTTCCCTGAATCCCCCTCCTTATCCCATTTTAAGAGCACAGTTGTCATTTCATCATTAAAGCAGCACAATTTTAAACTGAAAGAGGGGAGATTTAGACTAGATATTAGGGAGAACTTCTTTACTGTAAGGCTGGTGAGACCCTGTCCCAGGTTTGCCAAAGAAGCTGTGGCTGCCCCATCCCTGGAGGGGTTCAAGGGCAGGTTGGAGGGGGCTTGGAGCAACCTGGGCTGGTGGGAGGTGTCCCTGCCCAGGGCAGGGGGTGGCAGTGGATGGGCTTTAAGGTCCCCTCCAACCCAAACCATTCTGTGATTCTATGACACTTCAGATACAGGTGCATGCTGGTCATCCTCACAGGATGGCTGGGACCCCTCACAGAAGGCTTTATTAAGAGTCAGCAATATTCTTTTCACATCCAGCCTGAGACTTTTCAGGGTCAGCCTATATCTATTTGTTCATGTGCCAACATTGTTCTTTAACTTAAACAGATCCGTTCCCTCGCAGTGTTTATCCCCGAGGAGAACGATCTTGTCCCCTCTCAGCCTTCCTTTCGCAAAGTTAAACAAGTCCCACCCTTCCACCTCCTCTCATCAGTCAGGTTCTCCATTCCTCCTGTCACCCCAGTGGCCTCCTCTGCAAAGGAACTCGTTTCAGTTCACTTTTTTGCACACCAAGGACCAGCACCATCGACCCGCTCCTTGGTTCTCCTCCTGGAATTCTCCTGCTGAGGAATTTTTTGAAGGCGCATTTATCTTTTTTCATGGCTTCATCCCATTAGCAATTTACAGCCACACTGTGATCATCAATAACGCCTCTTATTCCTCCTCCCTAACCATTTTCAACTAAGAAGGTGCAAACTTTTTTTTATCAGCCTCCAAATTATGTTCTTATTAATAACACTTGATAAAACTCCATATACACCACATTCTGCACCAAATTTCCTTAGGAGAGATTAAACAGTAGCCAGAGACAGGCATGCATGGGTAAGAACAGTTCAAGATGAAAGCATGGAATGAAATTGCTAAATCTTCTCATTTAACCACAATAGGATTAAGCGTAATACTTGCTCATACAATAATAAGCATTGAGAGAGAAAAAAAAGGAAAAAAACCAACACAGACTTAGCAGCAACCAAGTGCAGAGAAATATAAACAAATACTGCAAATGAATCCACAGCGGCTAGATCCTTTTGTCTGGTAAAATCTTGTAAGTTTGGTTGGCTTTTTGTTAAATCCCAAAATACCCAATGCAGTGAACTTAAAAATTCTGCTTTCATACCTTAGAAAAATGCTTTAATCCCTTAGAAAGAAGGAAAGGATGAAAAGAAATACAATTTTTCTTTCCCAAAGTTCGAGCATACGAACAGCAAGCGCCAGCCTGCGTGGAGAAGGCTGTTTGAGATTAAAGCTGTGAAAAATGGCTTCACGATTTGCTGAGTGTTTGTAGCTCCCACCTCTTGAGTAAACACCCTTAGCAGTGGAAGGTGCACTCACCCTCTCCTTGCAAACAATTATAATCAAGATAATGAAGGGAAACAGGGAGTAAGATGCCGCATTTCTACAGCGAATGACCCACTGACCAAACAGAGTCACTCTACTCCTCGTTTTGTGTCTCACACTTCTTTTTCTGCAGTGTCCATAAGACACAGGGCAGGATTTCGGAGTCTCTCGGGCAGAGCAGAACACCCCAGGCACAGCCCAGGTCTGAACTCCCCAACCACCTGGCAACAGGAAGCACCGTCTTTCCCTGGGTTTGTGAATAAACTCCTTCCTTTCTTTTTGCTTTCCTGACAAAACCTGGAAAGCCTTCCTTCGGAACAAAGGGTTTTGCTAAGAAGTGGGGGGGGGAAATAAGAAAGAAATAAGGCTCAAGCTGGTTTCAGTGCAGCAAACAACAAAACAGGTTTTGATTCGCATTTTCTGGTTGAGCAGGGAGAACAGAGGACTTCTGCTTCCTTTTCCATGTCTCGTCACCACGACTCCTTGCAGCCACGTATTTTGACACCTTGACATCAGCATCAGGGTCTGCCCCCATGGCTCAGGGATGACTCTCACACCTGGAAGCACCATCCCAGCCGTGGGGTCACAGATCTGCTTATCAAAGGGGAGCTCCCAGCTTTGGCACCAGCTAAGCTTTCCCTTGCTTTTCCGATCCTTACGTCTACACCAGGGGAAGAACTGTTCTGCATCGCCTTGTTTCTTATGTCATTTCTTATGGCAGCTCATTGCTGCCACTGGAGAATATTTTGGTCAGATTCAGTAGGGAACATTGTTGTTATTTGGAGCACTGTGTCCAGGTCTGGGCTCCCCAGTTCCAGAAGGACAGGGAACTGCTGGAGAGGGGACAGCAGAGGATTACGGAGGTGATGAGGGGCCTGGAACATCTCTCTTACAAAGAGAGGCTGAGGGACTTGGGTCTTTTTGGGGAACTGATCAATGCCTATAAATACTGAAAGGGTGGGTGTCAGGAGGATGGGGCCAGTCTTTTTTCAGTGGTGCCCAGGGACAGGACAAGAGGAAATGGGCACAAGCTTGAATGTAAGAAGTTCTACCTAAACAGGAGGAGGAACTTCTTTACTTTGAGTGTCCAGAGCACTGGAAGAGGCAGCTCATAAGCTAGAATTCCCCCCACAACAAATTAAAAACAAGACGACTGCGTTTCCTTTCTCATGCAAATTTAAGGGCAAAAGAATACCATATAAGGAGGATTTATTTTGACAATTTATGCTAGATGAAGTGGACTCTTTGGTCTCCCAGATCAAATCCTGGATCTTTTCTTGAGTTTCTTCACATCACTGAAGAAACGTGCTGCGTTTTCATCGATTACACCTTCTGTTTTCACAGAATTTTTTGCTGTTCAAAGTCTTTTTGTTCAGAACTGTTACATCAATGGGTCTGAATTCTTTAATAAACAGCCCTTCAGTCCCTTTGGTTGTGGCCTGGGACACCTTCAACCCCAAACATACCTCCTGGCACCATGTTTTCACCCAGAGAGGGTCACCACTTGAAAAGTTCAGTACGAACATTTCTCAAGCAGCAAGAACCATGTTTTCAATATTAGACAGCTTAGTTCCTGTTATTTTCTGTACAGTTTGGCAGGGTCTGGGGGGTTATCTGTCCTGTGTCCTGGCCCAGAAAATGTGCTGTTGTCAGCATGCAGATTTGGCAACAGATGTAAATCCAAAGCCAGTTCAGCCTTTTTTTTTTAGGGGTATATAGGATTTTTAAATTCTTATCCATCACATATTAAATCTGCATTCTCCACAGAGCAATGCCAGCCTGTCAAAGCCACTGACTAAATCTGTGTTAACTGAAAGTTTAAATTCCAAAAAAGAATGTTTTGCAAGATTAATTTTTTTTTCAGACCAAATCATTCCTTGGATTTGGATAAGAACAGTGTAAGCGCGAAGAAGAGTTTTCAGTTGCACCATTCAGTGGTGATTTTTGTAGATGTTCTTAATGATAATTTGGTTTATTTAGGATTTTTGTTTCCTGAAACATTTTTTATAATTGTGGTTGTTGTTTTCATTTCACAATTAGAGGGTGGTGCATGAATTTACTTTGACTTGGCAGCACACAATTACACGATGCAGTGTATATGACTATGCAGTGTATATGGTCATGATTGTGTCAAAACCAGGAAAAGAGCAGCGGTGTTAAGAGAGTAGGAGAAACCCATCTTTTTAGGCCCTTTTCATGGTCCCATCCACAAGATTAAAAAGCAGACATGTATGATGCTCAAGCTACAACCAAAAAAAGTTCAATATAGGTTTTGTAGCAAAATCTGAAGACTAATATTGCCTGATGCGGATACTGTCTTGAGCACACAGATTTCAGTGATGTCTGTCAGGGTTTTTTTTAACTTTTTTTGTCTGCTGCCTGCTGAAAGAAAAGAAGTAGCAACTGATCCATCGATGTTTTAGCTGCCGAACCTCAGAAATGCCAGTTTGCTAGAAGAGCAAATTATATGACCCACTCTCAGTTCAAAAGCGACATCATACACCTGGAAAACAGGTCTACGTACATTTTAGGAAACTTCTCATCTGTCATGCTAAAAATTTATCATTTTGCGCTGTTTTATTGTCATGTTCCAAAACCTCAGGAGAAGTTTCTCAGACCTGTTCATCCGTGACACTGTGCTTTCCCACTGATGCTCTTGGGAGAGTGTTGTTCTTCACCTGTTACAAAAGCACCACTTAATTACTGTTCTTCTAGGGCCTGTTCTCCTTACCATATGCTTTTATTTATTTGATTCCAGAGGCCGTACCGTCCTCCAGACCATTGTTGCCATCCTAGGTGATCGTTTGTGCTCTTCTCATGGGACCACAGAGCCTGGCAACTGCCCTGTTTAACACAAGAGACTATGTGGAACCTCTCACTGGAGGCAGCAGCAGCAATAAAGCATCTAACATCTCTGCTCTTCCCAAAACACCATTGGGGCCAGCATCCAGCACACATTACATGGCCAAGTCCATGGCTCTGGGGTGTTTATAATGATATTTTGCTTGCCTCCTTTTCTCCTGGAGTAACCTTCCGGGGCATATTTGTTCTGTGATTGTTTTTCATTTGCTTCGCTGTACCTAGGGTTCCCACCCCTCTGGGATCACAGCCAAAACATCTGCAGCAGCTGGCAAAGGGCCAGCGAGACATTCAGTAGTGTCTGGTTCAAAAGCTGGTGGAATCGAGC